TCAAAGGGAAAATCAAAAGGAAAGACAAAGTCCAAGCAAGATGGAAAATCAAGTTACAAAGGGAAACAGAAGGGCGATGGTAAAGGCAAAGCAGGTGGGAAACAGAACGACAATTCGAGCTACAAAGGCAAAGGTGGCATGAGATCAGATCAAGTTTGCCATCGATGTGGAAAGCCAGGGCATTTTGCCCGTGATTGTTGGTCTCCAGCTGTGAGGAATGTTCAAGGTGAGTTTCAACAACAGCCACAACAACAGACCGTGCAGTCTTCTCCAAGTTCAGCTGCCCGGTGCTTCTCCAGCAAGTGGCAACTCACAGGTCCATGGAGGTCAACAACAAGGACAGCAAGCTACTCAGTATCGTGTAGCTAGAATTCATGAGTTTTCACCATGTCAGATCACTTCAGATGTTCAACAACATGATGAAGTTGTGTTTGACTTGCGCAGCCCTGTCAGCAACAGCAGTGGACAGGGAGGAGCAGTACGTGTTGCCAGGTTCTACATCGGTGATGAGCCTAGTGATGTCAGTTGTGGTTCAGTGCGTGCAGTTGCTGAGCCCATGCCAGATGGAAGCAGCATGTGCAACATCTTGTTAGACAGTGGAGCAGATGCATCGATATTTCCTGCAAGCATGTCAGGTTTTGGTTTGGACTCAGAAACGCCTGCAAACAAACTGCAAGACGCGCAGGGAAATTCCATTCCAGTTGATGGCATGAAGGACATAGAGATTCACCTCATGGATCAATATGGTAGAGCTGTGGTGTTGAAAGAGACAGTTGCAGTCAGCAGCCAAATCACTCAACCTATCCTTTGCTTTGGGCATTTACTGGAGAATGGTTGGGGTGTGAACGGCAGAGAACAAACGTTGGTCCATGGCTCAGGCATCAGTGTTCCAATCGAAATGCAAAACAAATCAATGGCAGTGCGTGGTTGGATCAGGGTTTTGCGTGAAGAACCTCAAGCATTGGGACCTATGGTCATACGTGCAGTTAGGGCAGATGTGTGGCCCGATTTGACTGAGATGAGGATTGGCTGGGACCCCAATGCTGAAGGTATTGGCAAAGGAAAACACTATGGCAACTGTTTTCAGGATCCAACTTTGTTTTGCCCGACAATGGCAGGTGACAAGTTTCGTACAACATTGATTCAAGATGGTGACAGTTGGTTTGTGCTTGAGCTGTGTGAGCCGATGTCAACGCTCATTGACTATTCAGCAGAGTTCTTTGGATATGTTGGTGACAGGTTCACTATCACGATCATCACTGCTTCTGAGAGGCCCCCACAGGCTATGGGTTTTACAATGTTGGCTGATGGAGAAGAACCTCTTGCCATGGCCCCAGTTGCAGGACGTGACAATGCAGAAGCTGCACAGATTCCAATTGCACCAGAAGATGATGAAAACATTGTTGGAATTGATGTGGACGATGTACAACTGGATGAGCAGGGTGCAGAGATCCCACAGGGCCAGGTGGTCATTGCGCCAGAACGTGGCGACCATTTGCTGGTGAATGGAGTTGAGATTTTCAGCAATACTGCACTGGCAACAATGCGTGAAGCGTGCTCATTTTACAATTTGTCTACATCAGGATCCAAAGACAGATGTTTCAAAAGGCTTCTTGAGCATCAAAAGAAACTGGAGTTGCAGCTGATTCTTGGTGCTGCACGAGAGGCCCAGGCAGCTGAAGAGCGTCAACCAAGGCCACAACACCTTGCAGAGGCCCCTGATGAAGAGACCCAAATGAGGCACAATTTGTGCCACTTGCCTTACGCTGATTGGTGTCCTTCATGTGTTGCTCACCGTGCTCGACCAGACAGGCAGGAAAGCACAGGTGCTGTCAAAGAATCTTCACCAACAGTCAGTTTCGACTTTGCATATACCAAGAGTGTTGGGCAGGATGGTGTTGCACGTGACACAGAAACGGTCATTGCTTTGGTGATGGTTGATTCAGTTACAAACTTTGTTGGATGCGTGCCTGTGAAATCAAAAGCCCAGACAGATCTGATGGTTAGAGAACTGCTTCAGTTTACTCAGATCCTTGGTCATGTGGAGTGCACATACCTATGTGACAATGAACCTGCTGCACTTCAGATACAAAAGCTTGTGGTGCGTGCCAGAAAGGCCATGGGCTTACCAACCAAGGATAAAAGCCCAGCTGCATACTCTCATGGCAATGCGTTGTGTGAGAACAGCATTGCAAGAGTCAGAAACCTAGCTGGAAGTCTCATGCACAGGGTACAGCAGAAACTGTCAGTGGAACTGGATACAAACAATGGGCTTTGGTCATGGGCTTTTCGACACGCAGCATGGTTGTTGAATCGTTTCAGTGTGGTTCATGGTGCAACTCCTTTTGAAGTGGTTTATGGAAAAGTTTACAAAGGGCGCTTGGCAGAGTTTGGAGAGCCTGCTTTCTCCTATGTGCACACGACGCACAAAGGGAACCCACGATGGCAGAGGGTACTGGTCCTTGGCAAGACAGAAGGCCAGGACACCTATGTGGTTTTCACTGGAAAGAATGTGATGCTATCCAGGTCCATCAGAAGGATTGCAACAGACTGGAAAGCACACCTGGGTTACTATGTACACTTCAATGCGCCAACGTGGTGTTTCAAGACAGGGTTTGGAAGCAGAATCATCCCAACACGTCGAACAGTGGAGCCCTTACCAGCTTCCAATGCGGCCCCAATTGGCCCAGTGATGCCTTCTCCTCTCCATGATGCAGATGGTGAAGCAGTACGAGCCAAAGCTCAGGAGGAGAAGAGGGAAGAAGGTGAACAACACCTGATGGGAGTTGAAGATGAACGTTCAAGGAATGCAGGATCAACAGCAATGCCAGAAGTTGCAACCACCGCTACTTCAAACACTGTGCAAGCACCTCAGCATGTTCAAGTTGAAGTACAAGATGAAGAACTTGACATGAGTTTCCTTGAGGATATGGTTCCCCAGGAAGACATGGGTGATGGCCAACAGGCACCAGTGACACCTCCAGTCACATCAGCGCTTGTTCCACCGAGTCCGAGGGCATCTCCTTCCAGCAGAGCTCATGATGAAGCTCCAGATGAACATGAATCAAAGAAGGCCAGAGTTGAAGTCTCAAAGAAACAAAGAATCGAGCGTGTCAAGGAAGAACATGAGAAGATGGTACGTACGGTGAAGGTGGGAGAAGATGTCTACCACACCTTGGATGACTATGACACAGACTTCAACTGGAACCAACAAGTTGTGGAGGATGAAGAGGTGTGGAAAGATGAGGACTCTTTGCAGTTCAGTGGAGTGCCAGAAGCTCTTTGGTCTGACGAGCCCACCAACAAGCAGCCAGGCAATCCAGAAGCTTGGGTGGATAGACTGGCAGACCAAGTGGAAATTGACAGATTGCTCTCAATGGGTGTTCTGATGAAGCGCGATGATTTCTCAGGTGAAACAACTGGAAATCTTACAACACGGTTTGTGTATGACTGGAGACTGAAAGCTTACAAGACTGATGGCACCTCTGACGACACAACAGTGATGAGATGGATGAGACGCAGCAGATTTGTGGCAAGAGAATTTGCCAACACACGCAGGGACGACACTTACAGCCCTGCTACTGGAAGCCATACCAACCATCTGATACCCTTGGCCTATTTGAGCATGCTTGGGAAGGTGGAAAACAGTGGCTCCAGCGATGAGAAGTATCAGGTAGTTTTGTGCTCCCTGGACATCAAAGATGCGTTTCTTCAGGTGCCTCAGGAGAATGTAGTCGAAGTCATGTTGCATGATGTGAAGTATGTGGTTTTGAAAAACTTGCCAGGCCAGCGCCTTGGAGCAAAAGCTTGGTACTGGTATTTCCGACAGTATGCAACAGAAACGATGCAGTTTGAGTGGTGTCTCATTCAGCCATGCCTTGCGAGGAAGGGTATGAATGCCTTTATGCTGCATGTGGATGATCTTTTATTCACTGGAAACTTGGTGTTTTGGCGTGATGTTTTCTTACCAACAATGCAACAGAAGTTCAGCATCAGTTTCAATGTGCTTGGATGTGAAGGCTCAGAAATTGCCTTTCTCAAGAGGCGACTGGTGAGGCTGAGCGATGGCATCATGGTCGTTCCAGGCACGACAGTGGAAAAGGTGCTGAAATGCTTTGAAGGTTTGTTTGGAACGGTGCGTGTCCAGAAAACACCTTGTGAAGCTGGCATTCAACAGGAGGACCAATCTCAACAACTTGAACCACAGGATAGCAGCTCATACAGGAGCATGATAGGCCTACTTCTGTACCTCTCCAGAGATCGACTGGACATCATGTTCACAGTGAAGGAATTGTCAGCAGCAATGTCAAAACCAACACTTTGTGCGCTGCAACGGTTGAAACGTTTGATGGGGTATTTGAAGTTCAGCGGCAACATTGGCCTTAAGCTGAGTTTCCCAGAACCAGGGAAAGGCAAAAGGAAGGAAGGCTGTGAAATGGAGTGGCTCTTGGAAACGTATACAGACGCAGATTGGAGTTCCAACAAGTCCCACAGGAAGTCTACCAGCTGCGCTTTGCATTTCCTCAACGGATGCTACGTCCATGGCTCTTCGAGGACTCAGAAAGTCATCAGCCTGTCCTCAGCTGAAAGTGAACTTCATGCAATGGTCAGTGGATGCTGTGATGGCCTTTTTATCAAAAGGTGTGCAGAGTTTGTCTTCTCAGCTCAGGTGCAACATTTCCAATGGACGGACAACAGTGCTGCGAGACAACTAGCAGCCAGGCAAGGCGTTGGACTCGAAGATCCTATGGATCCAACAGGAAGTCCTTGCTGGAAATGTGATTGTGGGTCAGGTTCCTACGATCTTGAATCTGAGTGATGTGGGAACAAAAGTGCTCACCAAGAGCAGACTCTATGCGCTGATGTTTGAGGTGGGTGCTTTGGACCCTGAAACGCTGGAACAAGTCGGCCAGGAGGAGCATGCAACTATGGTTGAACAGATGAATCACCGCGAAGCCATTTCAAAGATGGGAAAATTCATCAAAAGGCTTACTTTGGTGATGGGATTGCAGGGCCTTGAGTCAATGGTGGCCGAAGGTGCAATGATCCCAGACGATCAAGTTTGCAGTAGCCCGGAAGTTTCTTACAGCAGTTTTTGGATTTGGCTGGCATTTGGACTAATGCTTGCAACGTTTGCAGTGGTGACATTCAAGGGTTACTACATGCTGAAGAAGGTCTCCAATGATTTGCAACATGCTTGGGCGCAAGTGGCAGATGAAGATCACTACATAGCCCAGCAAGCAGAACGCATTGACAAACTGGAGAAGCGTTGCGAAGCTTTGGAAAACCAATTTGGTCAACAGACAGCCATCCTAACTGATCAAATCACAGAGACTTCAAACGAGCTTTCAATGACACGTGATTACATGACGGGCCTGCACTATTCACTGGTGGAACATGGTGGCTTCCTACGCAATGGGCTAGGGTTAAGCCACGATCAGTGGATTCATCTGACGACCCTCGAGCGTGCCAACATGATAAGCTCGAGGACAATGGGATCAGTGGAGTTCATGCGACTGGTCAGACAGAGAATGGTACCAGCTGAAACAGCAGACCAAACAGATGAAGCAACAGAAGATGGAACAGAAATGGAAGTGGAGCCAACAACCACTTCAAGGTTGGGTGACCGAGAACAATCTTTGGAAGAGATGTTGAATTTCATCAAGGCAGAACATCAAGGATGCATCGATCGCCAAGAATACTGGGATGCAAACAACCTGCAGAATCTCATTTTGGAACTTTTGGAAGGGGTTCAGAACCAAGTCCCTACCAATTCCATGTATGGACGCTGCAGAGCGAGAATTGTGGAAGTTTTCTCAGATCTGGCAGATCGGGCAGTGGATCAACAACGATGGAACGATGCAGACCACTACACCGCAATTTCAAATGCATATGGTGATGGTTGAAAATTTCACTGGAAAGCTGTGAAGGATCAGCGATGAGTGCTGAGACTACGCTGTGAAAAATGTCAGTGGAAAATCAAACCAGTTGTGAAGCGATCTTGGGGCTCACTCCACAAAGGAGGAGTGCCTAGGATTTCCATGCAGACTCAGTGCAAGGATGACACACACAAATCGAGATGATAGCAGTAACATTTTCACCTTTGCATACATGAAATACTCATGTGTGAATTGTGAGGCCTTGCGGCTCAGGAAAAACGCGTGCCCGCTTGCACTACTCGATCCTTCACCATCTCCTTTGTGTTTCCTTCCTTCCCCGTCCCGCTACAACATATGTTGTTCATTATTGTATTGGAAAAAATGACATGTGGGGCTATCTGGTCCTTTAATTGACTTGATCTTTCTTTGCACCGCGCTCAAAAAAAAGGTATGTGCCCCTTGCAGCAACTTTTGTGTTGGATTTATATCGTAGGATCTAATCCACAGTTGTTTTAATTGAAACAAGGGAAACCATTTTGTGAACAAAAACTTTCGTGTTGCAGGGGCCTCCACATAAGCCGGACAGGGATGCGTGAACCCTCGAGCAACCCAAACTATGTCCACCACCAACCGGGCCACCGGTGTGACCACATGGTTTGTGGGATTTTTTTGAGATTGAATGTAACGGTTTAGCCATCGTGTTGAAACAAAAAATATTTCCAAAAAACAAGGCATCATAAACAAGGTATTTGTGCGATGTTTGTAAATTTTTGTCAGGCAGGAGAGGTCGAACTGTTTGCTTTTGAAATTGGGTTGTTGAATATGGCATCAAAAAACAGGTTGTGTAGGTTGACCGACATGATGAAAATGTTTTGACCTCAAACATGTCGTTGGGATATGCAACCGATTTAACGGTGATGATGGGCGGCATGTTTGTTTTGTGTAGCCCCTGTTGGTTTGGATTCAGCAAAATTGGACCCCAATTTCGCATTGTAACAACACCAAACTGTTGTTGTATTTCCATTTTGTTGTTTCAAAACATGTTTTGATAAAAATTGATTACTGTACCACTTTGCATTTTAGGATTGTTTCAATTTTCATCATCTGAGTGCAGTTTTTTTTTCGCGCAATATGGCAGATGTCTGCGACTCGGCGGCACATGTTGGCCAAAAAAATCCCACGTTGAGTCTTTTGAATTGCTCAAATGTTTTGTTTCCAAAATTTAATCATGGACATAAGGTTTGTTCATGGCATTTGTGTGGTTTCCATGTACGTTGGGGTTCGCCGATTGAAAAAAAACAACAGTTTGGCAACGGCAGGAACCGGAGTCAGATGTGGTCTCCGTGGCGTTGGAGGCGGTCGTTGCAACGAACAACGAATTCCGGTTTGCAATAGGAAAATGTTCGTGGATATGAAATGGTGGCAGAGTCATGCAGAGTCTATTGGTTTAAGAACAAAAAACTAAAGTGATATTTTGAAAGGTGCATCCATTGATAAACATCGTACCTTTCCTTTGATGACGAACAAACTCCAACTAATCAAATGCATGATTTTTAAGTGTCAGCATGTGAATTTGGTTAGGTTTCCGAAAATGCCAAGCCGTGACCCAAGCAAACAACGCATGCAAACAAAGTGAAACTGCCAATGCGCTAAATAGTTTTATTTATATAGTCGTTTTTTTACTTTTGTTTAGATTGACAGGTATTTTGTGCACATACAATGATTTTTGTTGGGGTTGGACGCTTTTTCCAAGAGACGAAAACATGTTTCCCGATTGGTTTGACGTTGTTGTTTCATGAGTTCCATTTGTGACCACGGATTTCATGAGTTCGTTCAGTCGGATGCCACATGGGTGGTTTGATTGTGTAGGCAATATATCTCAAGGTTGAGGTTGCAAGTGTTGTAGTTCGGCATCAGTGATTCAGTTTGAAATCCCCATGGAACTGAGGTTAGCTCTTTGGGATCGCTTACCATCCCATGCCGAGGCGCTAAAAATTTTGGGGGACTTTTGGGGGACAACCCAATCACCAGGCCATGTGATTCGGTGACATTTATGGCTTTATTTTGCTTTGGGATGGTGGATTAGTGATTAGTTTGGGCGTTTGGGCCACTTCCATTTGTTGGTAAGTCACCCAAAGATTCCAGTTGATGTGCTGCATACCAGATGGTGTTTTCGCTGATGGGTTTATTGAATATTTGTGGTGTTACACCCAAAATATGCTGTATGCCATTTGTTATTTGTAATGCTTATGTGTAATCATTCCTAGTCATTTACACAATTCTATAATTTATGTTAATGATGATTTACTCGTTTTTCCTGTTCTTTCAATGGAACACTCTAACTGAACCAGGGTCTGTTCTCTGAATGGAACACCCCAATTGAACCAGGGTTTCTGAATCCGGGCTTGACAGTAGATACTAATTTGTCATTGAAGTGCTTGTTGTGTCAAACCGTCCAAATATTTTTTGTAGATGATACTATTGCAATCAGTTGAATGCAACTTGAGGGTAAAATATCATCACATGTGATGGAGGTAGTCAAAGCTGAGGGTTATTATGGACCCATATGAGAAGGGTACAGCTGCATGATCAGGGTTCACATACCCAGGAGGAATCTGCAGAATCCTTGTTGGGGTTTAGATCCTTTAGATACCCAAGATGTTTGGAATCTCATGGTAGTTGACGTGGTTGACCCCTTGCAGCGACGCCTGCCTCAGCACTTCTGCGATGTCTCCTTGCGCAGCACCGACGGGCAAGTCTTCAAGGCGAGTTGCGCTGCCGCCATCTCACGGGTGACCAGCATTTTTTTTTCGGGATTTCATGGATAAATGGCATTCCACAAAGAAAGATGAGAATGTCTTGGATATGTGTATGATATGTGTATGATATGTGTATGATATGTGTATGATATCTGTATGATATGTGTATGATATGTGTATGATATGTGTATGACATGTGTATGATATGTGTATGATATGTCTATGATATGTGTATGATATGTGTATGATATGTGTATGATATGTGTATGATATGTGTATGATATGTGTATGATATGTGTATGATATGTGTATGATATGTGTATGGACTATGAAGTAAATTGAAGTCCCAGCAAAAATGACCAATCAGATCACATCTCTGGACGTCATCGAGAGGCCCACCGGTTGGTGCTGTCCATGGCCAGCGATCCTCTCTTTGCAATGCTCAGTGGCAGCTTTGCCGAGGGGTCGGGTGGCCCATTCTTGAGCAGAGTTAGTTGTTGATTTGGCAGCTGAACAACATTGGTTTCTCATTTGCCATTTCCTAGGCCTCTGGCTCTCATTTCTTTAGCCTGCGGACACCTTTTGTATTTGGGAGCTACATCCAGTGATTTCAAACATGATTTTCCCCTATGAAAATGTCCAGTATACCGGTTTACCGTACACTGTATAGCCATTTTCTGGACAAACTCATATCAATTTATGTGTTGGTTATATAAATTATGTTAAATGTCTATTTCTGATTTGGCTGGTTGAATCAGGTGAATCCATCATTTTTGGATAAAGTCATAGCACATATCAGATCACCACATATATACATATATATATATATTATATATATATGTACATATATACATATATACATATATACATATATATATACATATATGTATATACATATATATATACATATATATGTATATATGTATATATGTATATATGTATATATGTGTATATGTATATATGTATATATGTATATATGTATATATGTATATATGTATATATGTATATATGTATATATGTATGCATCGTGTTTGGCAGGCACTGGGTGTGCATTATCATTAGGGTGATCATGTAAGCTGATGAATCCATTTTCATATAAATATTAATATTAGATACACGGGTGTGTATATATACATGCAGTATATATATATATATATATATTCCCATTATATCCGCATCATGGTTGATTTTCATATCCCCATGTTTGTAGTTCATGTTCTCTTGCGCTTAAAGGCAACAATCGGAGGTGCCCTTCGAATCTTCCGGCGAGGTGGTGGTCGTTCCGATGCAGTTTGGTCACCACTGGGAACGACTTTCAAATCAGTGGGAAGTGTGGGTAGAAACTGATTGCTTGATCAACATGATACACCATTTTTTTGCTTTCTTGGGGTCCGAATTTACAACATGGCCCATGATTTTCTTGCGGTTCTCAGTTGTGGCCATGGGGGCCAGGCTCTCAGTGCATTTCTGGAGTTTCTGTACAAGGGTACATTCTCAGTGAAGAAGGCCGCTGCGGTAATCGTGAATGCAGCTGTGGTGCAAGACAATGACTGACCACAAAGAGGGGAGACACTACTTGCATCAAGTCCTGGGAATCCCACAGATCCAGCCGCCAAAGACGAATCTAGCAAGATGGAAGATCGTCTACTAGTACTGGGGAGGACCGCTCTTGGGGGGTAAATTCTGCATACCTTTCCCACAGAAATCAGCACCTGAAAAATCGAACCCATCGTTGACATGTCATCGTTGCATCTTTACCCTTCTTGCGGAGTCTTATCAAATCATCAAGCTGAATTCTTTCCTCCTGGCAAATCCATATTTTAGAAGGTGCGTCAACTTCGCCCGACTCTGGCAAGACTCCGCAAATCAGGGTGTCAAAATTGAAACAAACTGTCGTAAAACCAATGTTTCCCGGCTTGAGTCAGGATTCTAGGACAACACATCACTACACCAAGACAAAACTGAGCAAAGCAACAACCAAGCTTGACGAAACAATCCATTGCTAAGACAGACGCAAAAGAAGGCATCCCACCAGCAAATCTTAGCGGAATCAGCACCAATTTCAGCCAACTAGGTGCCTGAAACCCTGCTGGTTGATGGCGGGAGTATCATTGATATCAGGTATTTGACGGTGATGCCGGATTCAACCATTTCCAGGAAGATAAACCCACCGGTGGCCTGTGTGCCGAAATGGATAGGTTGTGTTGCCCGAGCTGCTACGCTTGGTCCACCAATGGGAGGTGTGCTTCTGAGAGTTTCAGGCAGATTCATAGAGATCATAGAGGCGAAAGAACATGGCATTGACACATTTATGAAATATGTTGAAACTAGTGGCAGCCAGGAAGAGATGCCATACTATTGAATATTTGTTGTTCCTCTTTGCTTTTTTTTCACCCCTGAAATTGGATGCATCAGTACCAGAAACGAACCAACTTTGCAGGTTGATACCCTACTTCCATGATACTGAACTCTGAGGTGCAGCCGCTTCAATCTGCCTTGAACGAACTCCTGGTCAAGCCTGGTGCCGAGGATGTTTAGCGAGCTGTTGAAACATCCGTGCCAAACTGTGCTAACTCTCAAAGAATGTTACGGCTCTACTGCAATTTCTAAAGCTACGTGTCCGGTAACCAACGAGCGTCGATAGTGGTCAAATGGGAATTGGACAAAAGCCCATTGGCAAGAAACAATATCAAGTAGCAGTGAAACCAGGATTTGTTATTTCTAGTTGGCTGAGACTCCTCTTGGCATCACATCTATCGTAAAGTCAGGAAGTATATGTGGTTTATCATCATTTTCTTCGCTAAAAAACTGCTATATATAAAGGGTATGCCTTATTTTCAGACAAAGCCACATGGCATCCTGAGGCACATGACCCCGGAGCTGTGCTCTTCGTTGATAGTGGATTGCGAGGTCCGAACAGTGCAGACTCAAGAGACAGCGCAGGATATTTCAGAGACGTCTATCTTACCAGTTGTATGGGTATAGGATATATAGATCTGGTCTAATGACAAAGTTGATGGATCATGTGGACCATAATTTTTGAGCACCATCCTATAGTCCCATGTTTGAATTCGTTGTTCGGTGGCAGTGTCAAAATCATGCTGATTGTTGAGGTTTTGCTGGTGGATCAGCTAGACGAGATGCTGGTTCCTGCCTCAAGTTTGACCCACGGGACCATTGAAAAGGATGGTTGAAAAGCTATATACTTGTATGAACCCTTCATGCATTTCCTTTTGGCTCAAGAAATTGGGGATCAAGTGCATGGACCGGACTCTAGCAGTCGGTGCCACATCAGGTTCCCTTAGTGCCCTCATTTTTCGCTTAGTCACCGGTGTTCTGAACCCTAGCATTCCTCCACCGCCATTTGAGTGCCCTGTGTGCCCCGAGCTGCCAAACGTCCTTTTGCTTGGATCCTGGGAGATCGAGCCCTACAGCTGTGGCCTTGGACTTCTGATTGGTCTGTGCATAGGCCCAATATTGGAGTTCCTCTACCTGTTGCGGCAGACCTGGAAGGTTTGGTTGGAATCCAAGCTGGTGAAGCTATCGGAGAAGCCTGGGTGTTTGTACCGTCTTGGATGAGCTCCGCAGCGCCTGCTACCAACAGGTCTTCAGTCTCGACCTTAGAGCAAGAGGTGGAAGTTTTGCGACAAGAGGTGTGCGCTCTCTGTGATCGGGTGCGCGAGCTTGAAATCCGCTTGCCCCCTCCTACGGAAAGAGCTAGCACAGCGAGCTCTACTACCAGCTCGGCAGAGGTCTCTGGTACAGCTCTCGGTGCTGATCGCATCGCTGCGGCCAAGGACATTGGGCGGTGGATTGATAGGTGTTTGAAAAACCAACCAAGGGGTTTATCAGGGCGACAGCGCATCCCTCAAGCTAGTCGTTTGTACCTGGTGGTTCGTGATTTTGAAGGGGTAGTTCGTAGTCCTCCATTGGTTCTTTTCACCTGGCGCGAAACGAGCCTCATTGTCTCGCCCCACGGGCAACCTGGTGATTCGATCTACGTTGGGCTTCCTACCAAAGAAGAAGCTCGCTTGGTGGTGCGTGAAGCTGGACTCAGTCTTCCTCCCGCTTTGTTGCGGGCTTGATGGCTGAGCTGGAAGACGAAGAGGAGGAGGGCTCTGCTAGAGGGTCAGACTTACCTGAAGAGTTTGACCTGGAGCTCAGTTTTGTGATTTCAGGAATTGAGACCAACTTCAACTACCCAGTGTTGGTGCTGCAAGACGTGATAGACCCGGAGAAGCACTGTGAGTGCGTTGCTGTCACCCGAGTGGACGGGAAATTGCTCCTGGCTGTCCCTGAGAGAGGTTGGCACAAAAAGCGGGTGCATCGAAAAATTGCGCCCTCTGCTCTGACAAAAGCTGTCCGAGTAGTTTGTGCCGGTTGCCCTGCTGCTGCAAGAGACGAGCCTGAAGCTGTTCCCACTTTGAAGGCATGGCTGGGTTTGTTAGACCTACACTGGAAGCCCTGCTCACCAACGAGGCGGAGGCCGGTTTGGTTTTCCCCCTGGATGCGGCGGGCAGCCCGTTTGTGCCCTATGCCCCAGCTCTAGTAGCTGTAGCTCAAGACCACTTTGCCTTCGTCACTGCCTACGAGGGTGGCGAAGCAGGAGAGATGAAGGTGAGAATGGAAAAGCTGGAAGACGGCCTAGCTCAAGTCTTAACCGAGCTAGGAAGACTGCGACAGCCCACAAAAGTGACCGGGCTGGCTGCTACACCAAAGCCGGCCGCAGCCAAGTCTCAGAAGCAAGTGGCCACCGCAGCTGCCCCAGCCGGGCTGAATGCGGCACTCGTACAACAAGCACTGCATGCCGGAGTTTCCCAACAAGCCCTATAGCCGAGGTGAGTGCTCTTTTGGGAGGAGTGCCAGCCAACAAGATGACGGCTGCCGACGCCCCAGACTTCAAGGAGCTCACATCCGACGACGAGGAGGAGGAGCCTACCGCAGGCGCATCTGGATCAGCAGATCCTGTTGGACAAGCAGTGGTGCATCTGTCGAAGATCGTGTCGGAAATGAGAAAGGAGAAGCTGAAAAAGAAAGACAAAGGTCTGGAGTCCATCTTGGATCACGCAGAATCTGGTGCCCCAAGAGATGCCGCTCCCAGCTCCTCCAGTCGCTCGCACATGGCCGCTCTTCGATCTCTGCAGAAGTTGCTCGATCAGCAGCCTCACTTGCTCTATCGCGAGATCGAGAAGTTGATGGCGGAGGATTGGCAGACTGGAGGAGCTATGCCGGGCGTCGCAATGATGCCCACGACGGCTCGTGGCTGGTTGGAGCACAGGAGCAAAATTGGCAACTATGTGGGAGCCATCCGCCCCGCCTGGATTATGGCTGGAGCTTGGGACGACCTCAGACAAGGCAATGCAGACCGCGCTCGAGCACGACTTGCTTTGGGAGTGGCGGCGTACGACCAGCAGGCGTACGATCGAGGCAGTTGGCTGCTGGCCGGGGAGATGAGCCTCGAACATCCTCCTCCATATGGGAGCTTCGGCGCCCACCAGCCTCCAGATGTGTGGGAGACACCTCACACACGCCTCATCGATGGCCGCTGGTTCGACCTGTTGATCAGCAAACTCCGCAGCTTGGCCGACTACCAGGAGAAGAAGGCAAAGCTCAATCCTGGCAAGGGCAAGGCCGAAGAAGGGCAACCGAAAGCAGAACCGACAAAGAAGCCTCAAGCGAAACAAGGCGGCAAAGGGGGAGGAAAGAAAGGAGGAAAAGGGGAGGAGCAAGCTACCCCAACACCTCCGTCTCAGACCACCTCCTAGCGAATGAGGACATTGCTCTGGACGAAGACTGTCGCCCGAAGGAGGCGTTTTCGGAGCCGCATGTGTCTGCTGGCGTTCGAGTACCCGGTGCACGGGCAGAGACTTGCAACGTCAAGCAGCTGTGGAATTCATTGATGAGATGGATTAGTTCTACCTCGTCTTCTTTTTCCCGTTTTTTGAAGTCTTTGCTCAGCACTGCACCGCCTGTTGAGGGTGGTACGACCTCTACCTTGTGGCCTATGCCAGTGCCCTATCCTGCAGTCTGGTCCCACGAAGTTGGAACTGAGGACGGTGCGGCGATCACTAGAGCTCAGCAGAGGGCTGTCAATTTGGTGGTAGCTGCACTTAGCTGGCTGCATATGGGGCGCCCTGGCGTTGCTCCGTCATCCATGTCTCTAGCGGCTTCTTTGTCCAGAAGGCAGTGGCAAGTGGTTAAGCGTTTTGAGAGGCAGATGGAAGATGTGAGTGAGAGTGGAGATATAGATGCGGCCATGATGGGCCGCACCGCTGCCAAGGTAGAAGGTTTGGATGCAATCATCGCGGAGCTGCAGCAGCAGGCTATTGCTTGGAAAGCTGATAGCTATGAGCAGCGTTGGCAAGCACAGGACCGTCGAAACCTGGCGGCAAGGTACAAATCTGGACATCAGCTCCTGGACCCTGGCGTAGTTGTGGGCAAGTTGAAAGTAGGCGTCCCTGCTTTAGCAAAAGAAGTAGATGCCTCTAGGCTGTCAGTTCCCGAAAAGCCTCCAGAGTTTGATCCTGCTGATTTGTTTGGAGAACTTCATGCAACAGTTTATAAAGACCCAGTCAGCCAAGCTATAGCTCCTCATGAAGCTGATATGATGCCTCCCAGAGTTAGAGTACATGCTTCTAGGGATCAAGCTCTTCGTTTCCTGCAGTTCTTGGATGAGCGCCGGCGTCTGGAGCTAGTGCCAGCTGAAAAAGTACGAGAGACGCACCTTTGTGGAGCTTTCGCCTTGACCAAGGACTTAGAGAAAGATCGATTGATACTAGACGCCAGACCTGCAAACATGTTGGAGAGAACCTTGAATGCTTGGACCCGGACTATGGGATCAGTGCAAGCGCTGTTGCAACTTGAGATTCCCCCTGCAATGTCTTTGTATTTTTCTGGGACAGATCTTAGGGATTACTACTACTGTTTTCGGGTTTCATCGAGAAGAGCATGGCGCAACGCTATGAGACTGCCTTTATCACCTGCAGAAGTAGCCGGGCTCAACTGTTTCTCACCTAGCATGAAGCACTACAAGGCACTGTACCCCTGTTTGAGTACCATGGCAATGGGAGACAACAATGCTGTAGAAATGGGTCAAGCTGCTCATGTTAACATTGGGATTCAAATTGGAGCTATCAAACCCAAGGAACTTCTCACAACTCATGGCAGAGCACCTAGGAGCAATATTGCGTGTGGCCTTATTATTGATGATATCATTTTTGCTGAACAGCGAGAGACACCACCTAGTGATGCCGTGCCTTCAGAAGGCGCTCGTCGGCTGCGGGCTATGTGCGCTGAATATGAGCGCCGTCATTTGTTTGCTCACCCTCGCAAGACCTTTGTGGATGAGAACACGGTGGAATTTTGGGGAGCAGCTATGAACGGCTCTTCTGGGTTGGTGAGACCAGCTCCGAAACGACTGGTACCGCTGCTGTCGTTGACTGCAAAAGTGGCCAAGCTTGGTTACGCGTCGGTGGCTCTTCTGGAAGTTCTGGCAGGAGCTTGGGTTTCCGTTCTCCAATTCAGGCGCAGGACGTTGTGTTTGCTGGATGCTATTTATGTGGCTCAGCGAGGTCGGGAGTCGGATGATGTAGTGCGGATCTCTGGACATCTACAAGATGAGCTTTGGTTGCTTGCCGTTTTGGGACCCATTATCTGCACAGACATGAGAGCACAAAGCATTCCTGAAGTTTTTCTTTCTGATGCTGCGGAGGAGGCTCAAGCGGTGGTTGGTTGCCCTGTACCGCAGTTCTTTACAAAAGAGCTGCAAAGGCACTGCCTTACCAGAGGCAGTTGGAGCAAGCTTCTGTCGCCTTGGAAGGTATGGTTGAAGAGTCATGCCCAACTGCCCTTGGAGGACGAACTCCCGGAGGGCGTCCCCCTGGTTTCTCACCCCTTGTGGCTTGAGCTGGCGAAGACCCTGCAGTTTCAGCAAGACATGTTTGTGAGAGTGCGGAAGAAAAAGCACATTAATTTCCTGGAGCTGGAGACCATTTTGCTCTTCGAGCGGAAGCTGGCTCAACGCTATCAGGATGTGCGCTATGTGATGGGTGCGGACAGCCAGGTAGCTCTTGCCTGCTTGGTTAAAGGCAGATCAAGCTCTCCTGCACTTAACCAGTTGTTGCAGAGAAGTTTGGCAACGGCGTTAGGTTGTGGCTTATACGGCAACCTGGGGTTCGTCCCGTCTTTGGCCAACGTGGCTGACGACCCTACCAGGGATCGACCTGTCCGAGCTCCAATTGAAGAAACCCCCACATGGCTGGTCGCCGCACTTGGCGGTGACTTTAGCAAGATGGACAAGTGGCTGGAACGATTGGGGTACGACCCGATGCATGTCGCTGAGTTGCCCTTTTCCGAAGGCACTGAAATCAGTGCCACCGCGTTAGCTAGGGAGTTGGTGCCAGGTCTGCGCGATGTACAGAATCCTGACAGGTTAGACCGTTTTGACAAAGTTTTTTATGAGAAGAAAGCCAACGCTGTTCAGTTGTATAGTGAGCCCAATTGTACAGTAACAGCCGACCAAGACGGTGCTGCTGCATGTAGTTCTGCGTTTTTGGTAGCCGCTGATAGGTCGGGAGTCTCACCTTTGGAGGAACATCAACAAGAGACTATTCAAAATGGGGATCAAAAGGCATGCCAGAGCCAAACAAAAAGTGAAAAGAAGAGGCCAAAAAAGAAGAAGCTGAAGAAGGCCCATACAAAGACTAATCGCTGTTGGTTTGAGCAGGGCACCCCCTCTGCTATAGGTAGGCCAGTTAGACCAGTTTGCCTGCAGAGGCACCCAAAAGTAGGTATAAGCGGACATGCAGCCATGGACAATGAGGAGTCGATGAAGGCTCCGCTGTTGAGCGCAGCAGCCAGAGCAGCTCTGGCCGCTTTCCCTGCTGCACAGTTTTTTGCGCCAGGTGGCAAGCGAGCTCCTGCTGGGTTTCAACCGCAGCGCCGGGGAATCCTCGACTTATATAGTGGAGATGCGGGCGTCGCCCGCGCTCTCAGCCGGAAGTATGGTGTCTGGGTGCTGACCTTTGACTTTGACCATGGGCCAGGGCAAGACCTGCTGAATGAAGAAGTGCAGCAAAAAAATTTTGCTGCGCTGGAAGCGGAGAGTTTCCTAGGAGTAGGTGCTGCCCCGGACTGCCGTCAGAGACACCGAGCACCCTTTTGGCAAGCCTTTTATTTCTGAGAATATGGAAAAGAAGGTACGAGTGGGGAATGCCCATGCTGCTTTTATGCTGCGCATCCTGCAGTGGTGCGAGGAGCATGAATTGCCCTATTGGGCGGAGAACCCGGACGGGAGTTTTCTTTGGTTGCTGCCACCATGGATCCAAACTGGCATTGGGTCTTGCGGCCGTTCTTACAGGTTTGACCAATGCCGATACGGCACTCCATGGAGGAAGAGGACTCGGGTGGCAACCAACACCCGACTTGCTGGCCTGCGCGAGCTTTGCCTGGGCTGTCACAGCCATTTGCACTTGCGTGGGAAGAGCACACAGAATAGTGTTTGCTGGACGAAAGTGGCACAGGTGTATCCCAAGACGCTATGCGAGCGCCTCGCAGATGCACTGGCTGATGCTGGTGGCCTTTTGCCTATGCGCCGCAGGTTAGATACTGCGAGCTGTGCACGCTGCTTGACGGCTCGAGTGGGCGAGGCAAGCCATCCAGGTCCTGCTCGACCTCGAGATCATGGACCTCGTAACCCTCAGCTTCTTCAAGATATGCGCCTTGTTGAACCTCAGACAGCAGCAAGACAAGACAAACTTTGGTTGGAGCTCGAGCAATGGCTACGAGAACGTCTTAGTCCTGACACTCTTAGCCAGCTTTTTCTTTGCCCCGCTCTTGCGGTCAATGTCTTGCAAGCATACGGCATGTATCTGTTTGAGTCTGGACGAAGATTGTACGAGCTGCGGTATACTTTGATTGCTGTCCAAAACAATTTCCCCCACATGCGCATGCTGATGGGGCCGGCTTGGGCAGTTGTCTCAAAGTGGGAGATGGTACAGCCTTTACAACACAGACTCCCTCTCCCTGAATTGCTCTTTAAGGCCATGTTTGTCCTTGCTGCTTTAAAAGGTTGGCATCGTTGGGTTGGCACCCTGCTTCTGGGATACGAAGGCATTGCTCGGATTGGTGAAGTCCTCAAAGCACACAGGTGCGACCTTTTGCTGCCCTCCGACCTGCTGGAGACCGACACTGGGGTTGCTTTTCTTCGAGTACGCCAACCGAAGACCCGTTTTCGAGGTCGAGGCCGGGTTCAACATTTAAAGATTAAAAATCCCCTATTTTTGCCGTTTTTGGAAAGAGTGTTTGGCCAACTAGACCCTTCACTTGCACTGTTTCCTTTGACAGCGGGCATGTTCCGCAAACGATGGGATTGCCTTCTGGATTTGCTGCAAGTGCCTCCACGACATCGACCCACGCCGGGTAGCATTCGTGGAGGTGGTGCTGTTTTGGCGTATCGCAGAGGCGAACCCATAACTCACATTTTGTGGCGGATGCGACTGCTTTCTTTGCCCACTTTGTCTAGTTACTTGCAGGAGCTTGCTGCAGACTCTATGATCACCCATCTTCCTCCTCGAGTGCGACACCGGATCCATCAAGTTGCTACCCTTTTTCCTTTGACCCTGCAGTCCCTGGGCTCAGCCACTGGCGTACAAGCTCGTACCTACGGGGACGGCCTGCTTTAGAAGCGGATGGGGGTACTGTGAAGCCGGCCTACAGCTGCCTGTGATCCATTACGTGTTTGTCACCCAGATGGCTCCTTGTTTGATGCAGCAGAGACCTTACGTGGCTTCCCAGCACCTTTAGACTTTCCACAACTTTGGCAAGCTGAAACAAGACAAAAAGTGAGCGGTGCTGACATGCATGAACCCTTCATGCATTTCCTGCCCCGCTGAAGAAATTGGGGCCCACCGCTCCCCCCCGTGATGGGGGTACCGTGAAGCCGGCCTACAGCTGCCTGTGATCCATTACGTGTTTGTCACCCAGATGGCTCCTTGTTTGATGCAGCAGAGACCTTACGTGGCTTCCCAGCACCTTTAGACTTTCCACAACTTTGGCAAGCTGAAGCAAGACAAAAAGTGAGCGGTGCTGACATGCATGTATATATATATATACACACAAAAGGACTACCTGTAAATTGTTGCGCAAAATCTGGACAGCAACGATATACACATACATGCATAGGTATATACATGTATAGATATGATGTGTGATGATGTGTGTGTGTATATATATATATTTATATGCTACAGCTATCTATAGCTGTACCAACTATTTTATTATGAACAGCTGCATACCAGAGTTTTGATCTATAGCCAAATGGCAGCCCCCTATCGCCTTTGCATAGGAATGCTACGTCCTGGAGAACTTCGGTGCTTGTGTGGCGGCCCCAATCAACTCTATGTGGGATGGCTTGTTCCAACATGTTCCAACGGCTTGGAAATTCCTCTTCTTACATGTGAGGATTGTGAGGGCACAGTGTTGTTTTTGGTTTCTTGAAGAAAGAGAAATCTGATGTGGCAAGAGTTTTTTTAAAATGCCTTGCATTTTGGCAAGTCTTTGACATCCAAGGTGAAGACAGAGCAATTCGGCTCTTGGCCATTGCACCGGATGGCCAGGACCCTTGCCATGTCATTTCGAAACACGTCAAAAAGGCATCAGGCTCTCGACCGGGTTGAACAAACCGTTGGATTGACGATGGAATTGCAAAAGCATTGCAAAGCCGATCTTGAGTTTCTGATGGGACAGCGACGTTTAGCTGGCCTTCGCACTTTCTTCACTGAACCCTGCTCTCCCAACCTTCGGGCTTTGATGATTGGAAGCAGTGACTATGGAGCCAAGCAGTTTGAGGATTCTCTTCACTACCTTGGCCGCTTCTTTTTGGTCACTGCGAAATCAAATAGACGGATAAACTGTTCCGTGCTGTTCCCTTTTCAAAGGCTACTTTTATGGCAGAGTCGAAACGATTTCAGGGTGAGTCTGGATTCAGAGCCCAGCTTTCGATCTGCTTAGATTGGTTTGCTTCGCAGTGATGAACTGGTGGCGGAGCATGAAGAGGAGGCAAGGAATTCCTTCGGATGCTGGCTTCGGGTGATTGCATGCACTGCTCTTCAGAGATTTTGAACTCCACTCATAGCATCTCATAGCTTGTGGAAAATTTGCTGTCTTTTTTGTTACTCCACTGGAGTTATCCCAGAATTTGTTTCAGGTGATTTTCTTCTTCAGCACAGTTTTTCACTGTATCACCAGGTCCTGGCTGCTGTGATGCACTGGCACCGCAGCGGGCCCAACCGGGATGATGCCACTGCTGCCGGGGGACTTGGCGGCAGTCGCGTTGTGGATCCTAATTGGGTTCTGACTTTTCCTTTCTAGGAAATCCGAATTTGGACTGCATGTGATAGGCTGGATGAATTGATTTACAATCCCGGGTACAACTGGCAGGGGGGTCCCTATAAATTGCTCCATGCTGAACCTACCAGCGGCAGCACCGCCAGTTCCAGGCCCTTCTGCAGATGGTGCGCTTTCCTTTGCTGTCTGCTGAAGCACTGCAAGGTCATTGACAAAACTCTGCCTTGCGAAGATGGGAAGGAAGTAGATCCCGATATATACTGTATATATATATATATATGTGTAATGTAGTTATATATATATATATGAATTTATAGTTATATATAATTATTTGTAATTATATGTATATATATATATACACGTATAGAGAGTCCCATTAATCCCGACCTTCTTAATTGTCACCTTGTTTGTATGTGCTGCTCCACATCCTGGATCACTCTTTCCCAGCAGGTCTGGGCAGCCGAGAAGGCCTAGAGGGCACCTGGCGGTAGTGGTACCACCAGGGACAAGCGCCTGGCTGCCATGATCCTACCGTGTCAATGGCCGTATGGAAATGTATGGAACCCCGAAGCCTGAACATCTCCGGGCCAAAAATGGACCATGACCAGGCCTCACTGGCCTGCCAGGTGTTGCAACTTGGCTTCAATGATTCGAAGAAAATGGCTACCTTGAACAAGGTGGAATGGAAGGTGGACTGGTTGATATGGCTTTGTCCCAAAAATGAGGCACACCCCACTTATCCCCCACTTATCCCCGATTTATCCCGATTTTTTTCACCATTTCAACTGCTTGGATCTTAGGGGTACCGAATTTTGGACCCAAAAACACCCAGCTGGGAGCTGAGGTGATGTCTCGACTCGCTGCAGCTGCTTTGAAGATCCACCACGGCATGCAGAGTTCGGGTCCTTGCTTTGCGCTTGGTGCGGTTTGCTTAAAGGGTCTAAATGAAACCGTGGTTTTACCATCCTGTTACCGGGGGGCCTTCTGCAAATGTTTGCTTGACATTGTTGAACATGTTTAACCGATTTCTGGAACGCTTGAATTAAGAAGGACACATACTGAGGACATGAGCCAGACATTCACAAGTTCGAGGAGAGGATTTGGGAGCAATTTCCACGATGGTGCCAATGGTGCCAACATGTTAGACAAATATCTCCCTGCTTGAGGTGATTTGAGAGAGCGACCAGACAGCCACGAGGAGGCGGCCGGCTTTGAAAGCACGTCGTCGTCGGTGGTGATGGTGGTGGTGAAGCTTGTGCAGACACCATTTCACAGCCTTGTATTGACAGAGTGCTCAAGATTTGAAACCCTTGATAACTTAGTTTTGTGACCTTTTCGCACCTCTTTTCAACCCTGCAACTGCAACAGCAGTTGATGATCCATTTTTCCGAGCAAACATGAAGCAACAATGGGATGGCTCCTTTTCTACATTTTTCCACATCTTCAATCATCGAGATCTAGAGGCCTCCTTCATGAAGTCGGTCAAGCGGCGAAATTCCTACCCGCATTGGTCGGAGCCGCAGGGATAGAACCCTGAGAGATCATATCCGAAGGATATGTATACTGTATATATATATATACATATATATATATATGTATACATAGGTGGTACACTATGTCTATTATTCCAAGCAAGGCCTCCATCCAATTTTCTTAAGCGTCTTAAGCCAGTCTTAGCAAGAATGAGAAGATGTGACTAGACTATTCCTATGCCTCAAAGTGTCAGTCTGCTGAGGTGGGCTGATTTTGGCTGCTCCCTGCGGGGTGGTGTTGTCATAGCTGAGCGCAGTGGGCAATTTGGCGAGGCAGATCAGACAATCATTGTGCTCTATGTGCACGTGGGTTGTTGGAGATTGGAGATGTAAACTTTTTGGATTTAAGTTTTTCTTCAGACATCTGGATTTGTGAATGGCTGCCATTGGGCTTTGTCTGAAAATGGTCCAAAAAAAAGGCGAATTCCTATGGAGTATCATGGTTCTCCTGATGTTCACCATTAAGCACTTCGATTCCTGATCTTCACCGTTATTCACCATTAAGCATATTGATTCCTGATTTTCACGTATTTTCACCATGAAAAGTAGAAAATTCGCAAAAGTCCAATGTATTAATTCGATTCTTGGTAATTCTTTGGATGTTTTGAGGCGATTTTTGGGAAGAAAGCGACCTGTCTTAGGGCGAGTTGGAGCCCTGGGCAGTGCACATCCACGACCAGTCGCTATACATCATTGATGGCCTGGGTCTTGGGGGTTTCCTAAAATGGTGGAATATGGTGGACCCCAAAATCATCCCAAAATTGGTTATTATCATCTGAAAAATCAATGGTTTGGGGTATCTATATCTGAGGAGCCCCCATATGCCATAATCAAAAGATGAATGATGTGTGATTATGTAAATGATGTAGCCATTTTGGGTGATCGGGGGATGGTCATATGAAAGTCAGTGGGGTCATGCTCACTACGTGACATGTCAGGGTCATGCTCACTACGTGACATGTCACCACTTGCTTGTATGAAAGGCCTCGCAATCATTTGGGTTCACAAGGGCCCTTGAAGCCAATCACGGCTTGGCGAAACGGAGAAATAGAGTGGAGTGATTTGGTGTTGTGGTGAGGGATTAATAACCCCTATACAACTGACGGTATTCGCTGCCGTAATTTCATGGTAGCGGAGCAGGAGATCTGTGACCTGCTTCCGCGCTCGACCTCGCGGTCTTTGTGAGGACATTTTGTCCTATCCTGGAAACTGAGGCCTTTCGGCCAATCTGGTGGCCACCAACATGGATGGTGGCAAAGACGCACTGAGGGATGTTTCATTTGATGGAAAACCCTCAGGGTACCGTGACTTTCGTCGCAAGACATTGCTGGCGATCGCTGGGTTGGAGGACAAGCATGCACACCTAGCAGGTCCCCGACTCCTTTCGCGACTGAGTGGTGAAGCCTGGCGTGCCACTGAGCACCTTAACATTTCTCAGTTGAGATCGCCTGATGGTTTCATGGTTGTGATCAAAGCACTTGATGAGCATTATAAATTCCTGCCTGAGACAGAGTTACATGAGAGCATAGATGAGTTTCTTTTCGCACTGAAACGTCGACAAGGTGAAGGAGCCACTGCCTTTGCAAGTAGGTTTAGAACTCAGCTTGCCAGAGTTGAAACACTGATCAGCCAGGAACGTGAAATGACTCGTTCCAAGCGCCGTCGCACAACTGAAAAGCCTGGAGACATCCCACCCGTGGATGAGCTGTATGAGTCCGAGTTGGAAGAAACTGCATCGGAAGGAGCAGGAACCGAACATCCTGCTGAACCTGCCAGACCCGAAGCTGAGCCGACCAGTGGCACAGCTGATGCATCCGAAGCTGCTCCACCTGCAGCTGAGCCTGGCCAGCCGGCCAGAGGCCCTGGAACTGCATCCGTCACCAGTTCAAATAGGTCTCGCAAGAAACAGCATAGCTCTTATGGCTCTTATGAGAAAGACTGGACAAAGGCCCAGGCCAAAATGCAGCAGATGCTTGGAACCTTGGAGATGGGGCATGTCAAGCCCAACCAATATTTCCTCAATCTGTCCTTGGCCATTTGTTCATGCGTAAGTATGGTCTTTCCCGAGAGCAACGTGCCCAAGTAGTTCGCTCGACAAATGGATCCTCCAGGTTCATCGATGTTGAACGAATCTTGAGAGCATCGGACTTGGAAGAAAGCCACAAGTCCGAAGACCGTAGACCTCAACGTCCGAGTCGTCGGGAAGCCTATGCAGTTCAAGAACATGTCCATGCAGTAGAACAAAGTGATTCTTCCAGCCTTGCAGCCGTAGATACTGATGATTCCATGTCCAATGACGACGTCATGGCCGTCGACCAAATGGATTCCAGTGAAGAAGAGTTTCAAAATGAATTGCAAGAAGTTTATGAGTTGCAAAGGAAGTCAAAAGAGAAGTTCCGTAAGTCATTCAAGACTTACAAAGATACGAAGAAGAGAGTCAAAGAACTGAAGAGGAGCAGACAGCCATACTATCCTGTAGTCGCCTTGACACAGCCTCAGGATCAGAGTCAGCCCTCGCAGTCTTCTCAGAACCAAGCACCTTTGCAAAAGTCCAACTTCAAGTATGACAAGAAATCATCGAGCAAGCCTTATGTCAAGGGTAAGAAAGATGGCGGCCGTCCTTCCAAGAAGGAAGAAGCAAACATGACCGAGTCTGTGCTGGTCAGTTCATTTGCATACATGGTAGAAGCCTCTCCAAGTTTTGCAACTGCAGCCAACACATGGACCTCCGAAGAAGTTTTGCTTGCAAGTATTCCTGAAGGTCATGCAATTTTGGATACGGGTTGCACAACGTCAGTCATAGGAAGTGACACAGCAGCCAAGTTTCAGGAGTTCTTGAGACGCCGCAACTTGCCTCAGCCTGCAGAATGTGATTTGCCTCCGGTTGAACTAAAAGGGTTTCAAGGTGGTAAGGTCGAAACGACCACTGGACTTCGTTGGCATGTCAAGCTGGGATCTTTGTGGGGGTCAGTCACTACGTACGTTGTGCCTGGTCAGACACCATTTCTGTTGTCGCGCAGAGTCCTGGAAGGTATGAAGGCCAAACTTGACCTCGGCCAAAAGTCCATTACAAGTGAGCACCATGGTATGTTCAATGTGCCGTTACGGCAAGCTGCCAATGGTCACTTCTTGATGCCGCTGTACGAGATTCCCAATGATTTCCATGTAGAAGAATCACAGCTTGCAGAATCGATGATTCGTGCTGACGCCCAGCCATGTCAGCCTGAGTATGAGCCCAATGATGCAGAAGCTGCCGAAACTCCAACGCCATCCGAGCCTTTGCAGAGCCCTGGCCCATCCGAGGACCAGTGTGTAGTTGAAATCAAAAGGGATAAGGGTAAGCCCACCAAAAATGGTAAGATAACTACAGGGGATAGGCGTAGAGCATTCCAGCACATAGCAAAGAACACAAAGAATGGAATTGTAGATGTCCAGAAGTTTCAAGAAGAATTCAAAATCATCTATGGAAATTCAGGTTTAGAGGTTTCACATGCCATGATAGCATATAAGCCTAAGCTTGAGAGAGTTCCCACGGAACTTGCAGACGGTGAAATCCAGCAATCCATATTGACCTTGACCAGAGAAGGTGAGTTTTCTGTATCTCCTTGGTCAATCCGCCCTGCAGGATCCACCAGATGCCGTGTCCCACATGTGAGCATAGCCATGTTTGCATATCGCCCCGTGACATCCGAGATGTCAGCACAGCCAAAAGCCACCCGGTCAGCCGACCGTAATGCTGAGCCATGTTGCTATTGTTGTAATGAAGTTGAACATGATCACGGGACTCATGATAATGGGGACAATGGGAAAGATGATTTAGAAATGTTGTATGAAGAAATGGACTGGTTGGACATCAACACTGAACCAATCCCAAAGGAAACGCAGGAAATGTTGCTTGCTTCCATGACGTCTTTACGTCGCACACAAGCTCAGTTGGTCATGACCAGAGTTCATGAGGAGCCTGAAGCGGTTCGTCGCGAGCTCAGTGAATGGTTAGGCCCACAAAGCACAGCCTTGGACCAAAACGTCCAATTCCTGGAAGTTTTCACAGGTAAAGCACCTCTTGCAAAACGGGTTGAAGAGAAACTTCAAGTGCCAAGCATTCGAATCGGTTTAGAATATGGTCATAACCTTGATCAACTCAAAGACCGTAGGATGCTTATGACCCTTATTGCATATGTCAGGCCACGTCATGTCTGGTTTTCATTTCCTTGTGGATGTTGGGGACCATGGAGCCGTTTTAACATGTCAAAAGGAGGTTCTTGCCGTGAAAAGATTGTTGCTCAGAGGGCGAAAGCCCGACGACACCTGCATGCGGTCACCGAAGCCTGGGCACTCCAAACAGCCCTTGGAGGACACTGTCATTGTGAAAACCCCTTAACCAGTGAAGCTTGGGGAGAACTTTGTCTAGGAGAAGTATATGACATTCGTGTTGACCAATGTGCCTTGGGTCTTCGTTGTCCAAAAACTCGGTTGCCAGTCCTCAAGCCGACCCGACTGGTCACCTCTCAGCGTAGTTTTGCCGAAGGCATGCAGCAGTATCGATGTGATCACCGCCATCAACATGGACATCTGGAGGGTAAGTATAAGGGGAGAAACCTGTCTAGCATAGCTGAAACTTACCCCACAAAATTCTGCAATGTTGTGTCCGAACTGATTGTCCAAGATGTCCAGCAGAACGACATGCCTCCAGCCAGCACTCAAGAGTATGTCTATGCGTTGGACGACGATGAGCTTGCAGAAGATATGCCAGTTGAAGCACCAGCCGGTGACGCACAGAAGCAACAAGTTGAGAAAACAGCACGAGCAAAACAAATTGTGATGAAACTTCACATCAACACTGGACATGCATCACCGGAGCAGATGATGCGCCTGGCAAATCGTTGTCATTCATCAGACACTGTCAAAGATGCCATCCGCCATTTTAAATGTTCTGTTTGTGAAGAACTTAAGTTGCCTACTTTGAGACGCAGTGCCACGATGCCTCATGCAGACCAGCCAAACCAAATAGTTGGGGTAGACTATGTCCAAGTAGAACTTAAAAGGGATGAAGAAAATGGGGATATGGTAGAACGTAAGTTTAATGTCTTGACCTGCGTGTGTCTGGGAACTGACTTTTGCCAGCAGATTGTCGTGCCAGGATTCGGCCAGGGCAATCTCTCCAAAGCGTTTCATGCAGTTTGGACCCGTCCGTATGGTGCACCTAAGACAGTTTACATGGACCCTCAACAAACCAATTTGTCAAAGGACTTTCAAGCTTATTTGCGCCATTATGGAATCAACCTATTGCATTGTGCCGCCGACAGCCATTGGCAGATTGGCCGTGTAGAGATTGCCAACCGTGTCTTGAGAGACATGGCACGTAGAACTTGGAGGACAACCAGCCGTCCTGTTGAAGAAGTGATTGAAGCATGTTCCAGCGTAAGAAACCAACTGCTGAGAAAATCAGGATTCAGCCCTGCCCAATGGTTCTTAGGACAAGACACACGTCATGCCGGTTGGTTGATAGATGTCGAGGCTCAGGAAAACCCTGCAGTACAGTCTCAGATCATCACCGATCCATCCTTTCAAGCCAAAATGCACCTTCGTGAGGATGCAGCCAGAGCCTTCCTTGAGGCTCATGCTAAGGATGTTTGGCGTAGAGCCATTGCAAGTCGCAACAGGCCATTACGAGGTCCATACATGGTTGGTCAGTTAGTGTACATGTTCCGTAGGAGGGGCAAAGGTCAACTGACAACACGTAATGGTTTCTGGAATGGTCCTGGTAGGGTAATCGGTGTCGAAAGTTCCACAGGACACCATGTACCAAGAATAGTATGGGTTTCATGGAATGGATTTATCTACAAGTGTTCACCTGAAGGATTACGTCCAGTTCCAGAAGATGAAAGTGAATTCCGTCGTCTTGCCAAACAATTGTCAGAAGGTAGGTTGCATCCGGAAGCCGAAGCTGCAGAGCAGAACTTGCGTGAAAAAGCTGGCCAGTTTCATGACCTGACGCAAGAACTACCACCTGATGATAATGACTTTGAACTAGAAGATGATGTACAGGAAGAGCCTGATGATGACATGGGAGGGGATGACAATAACGATGATGATGATGATAACCCCCCTAGACGGAAATCCACCAAACGTCCTAACTTGGAGGGCGATGATGGGCTCCCTGCCCCCCGAAAAATCCGTGTTCGTTTCAACCGATCCCCAGAGTATTGGCAGAAACGTAGTAGAGGGACGCCACCATTAGGTCCAATCCAAGAGGGCGATGAACCCACTGTCTTGACACAAATTCCTGAAGAGCCACCGGCTCACCGCAGAAAACTAAATGATGGGCAACCCGCTGAAGATGAACACCCATATGAGCCAACAACCCCAGCTCATTCACCTAGAAATGAAGTAGATGAATCAATGGAACCCCAAGAACAGCCATCCTCAGTAGCTGTTGAGCCGTCAGAAGTGCCTGAAGCTGCAGCATCAACAGCAGATGCACCGCCAGCCGAAGCCGCAGAGCCTTCAGCTCCCAGCCTTCCTCCGCATGAGGTGCCAGTACCAAATGATGATGAAGACCTTCTGGTCTCTGGTAAAAGGTGGAACAGGTTCTTGAGGTATCCCTGGATGTGTTTGCAACAGATGTGTGTGACGATTCCCATTTCCTATGGGGAGTACTTGATGAGTGTTTCATGGCAACCCCTGCAGCAGCCAAACAACGCAGGGTAGAAGTAAATTTCCGGAAGTTGAATGACCATGACAAAAAGTTGTTTGAAAAAGCCATGCAAAAGGAGTGGAACTCATGGGTAGAAAACAAGGTCACCACTATTTGTAAATCCAAGGGAATCCCAATTGATAGAATAATAAAAGCTAGGTGGGTGTTGGTATGGAAAAAGTCTTCAGATCCCGATGAAAAGCAGCAAACCCCGAAGGCTAGGCTAGTTTTGGTGGGTTGGCAGGATCCAGAGTTGGGTCGAATTGCCACGGATAGCCCCACGCTCCGAAAGGAATCCAAAAGTTTAGTACTTTCTCTGTGCGCAGCCATGCACTGGAAGTTGTGGGGAGCCGACATCAAAACGGCGTTCTTGTCGGGTGATCCTTCGAATCGGGAAATCTACTTTCGTCCCCCACCTGAGATTAGACAATGGATGAAACTTGATGAAGGGGATCTCATGAAATTGGAAAAAGCAGCATATGGGTTAGCAGAAGCGCCCCGAGCATGGTTCTTACGATTAACCCGAGAAATGAATGCTGTAGGACTTTCCCAATCCAAACTAGATCCATGTCTTTTTGTTTTAAGGAAAAAGGGAAAACTGTGTGGGATTTGTGGAATACATGTTGACGATATTCTAGGAGGAGGAACAAAAGAGATGGATGAAGTTCTTTCCCAACTCAAAAGCAAGTTGCCATTTGGGGATTATCGCACTTTCACAATCCGATACACGGGGGTAGAAATCCGACAGAACCCATCGAACTATAGCATAGAAGTTGGCCAGGAGTCCTATATAGAAGGGTTGAACCAGGTAGCAACTAAGCCACTGGGTAGTGCTGGCACCGCGCTGTCCAATCCAAGCCTTTTGAGGCAGTGCGCAGGACAGTTAGCCTGGGTAGCAAATTCAACTCGGCCAGATCAGGCGTTCCTGTCGTCTTACTTGCAGGGCATGCAGGACAAAGGAACCGTGTCCCATGTGCAGCTTTACAACAAGGCAGTCCGTGAGATGAAGGAAAATAAGATTTGCCTCAAATTCCCTAGTGATGTTCCCATCAAAGACTGGCGCATCATGGCCATAAGTGATGCTGGTTGGGGTACTAGAGGAAACGGTGAGTCTCAAGGTGGATACTTGTTGTGCCTGGTAGCCAGTCCCATGCTTCAGCAGAAGCCTGCACGATGTTGGATCGTTGATTGGTCGTCAAAGAAATTGCGCCGTGCAGTTCGTTCATCAGTAGCAGCAGAAACTCTAGCAGGACAGAATGGTCTGGATGCCATAGAGATGTTCCAAGCACTAATGGCTGAAACAATAGATGGAATATCCCCAAAGGAGTTTCGTAATCTCAAGCCTCAACATCCAGCTGCACTTGTAGTGGATTCAAAAGGGTTTTACGATGCTGTCACAAGAAGTTGCTGCAGTCAATCCATTTCAGTTGAACGTAGGCTTCAAATTGATTATACCATTGCTAAGGAAACTATGGAGAATCAAAACATAATAGCCTTTTGGATCAACAACTTGAGAATGGCCGCAGATGTGCTTACCAAACTCAAAGCAGACAATCGTCCCCTCTTTGATTTACTCAAAAACTGGATGTACCATATCAAACCATGCACCGAGTCAGGCAGAAAAGAGAAGGCAAAAGGGAACCCTGGCATTTTGCCAGCACAATAGCTACTGCAATCCAAGAGAGCCTCGCCAGTCGTTAGCATCCACCATGCATGTATAGTGTATAATAACCATGGGGAAATCGATAGGTCTGGGCCCTAATAACCTTGTGAATATGGCTGATAACCTTAAGGGTAATTTTCCAAGTTTTTGCAAGCCAGTTGTACAGTGCCGCCTGTTTTTGCAGCGTCTCTTCATGAGCGCAGCTTTTTGGAAATTCAGTCAGACTTCCGACTCCGCCGATCTTAGCTGATTTGTAGCCTAGATGTCCGGCCGCATGTCGAAGCTTTCGAAGACCGATTCCACCGGCCCTTTGTCTGAGGTGGAAGTCAGCCGTTGTGCCGAACTGGTTCATCGAGCCATCGTGCATGAGCAGGGATGGCGCCTTGTTCAAGCGGTTGGCCGCCACATTCATGGCCGTGGCACCAAGGTTCATGTCCAAGACTTGCTTGACAAAGTCCAACAAGGCATGAGTGATGCCTCGAAGCGCCGTCTGGATACCGATTCAGAGTGGGAGGCCCTGACAGAGCAATGTGGAACGGAGCCCCGTGATGAGGATCCGAGCCTTGACTTCGCAGAGGGCTACAAGTCACCCGTGCAGAAGCCGTGCGCTTCTGGTGCTCCTATGGCGTCATACGCACCCGCTGGAGGTCAGGTGGTCATTCCCCTGCCGCCCGGTGTGCAGAATGTGAATGAGTGGGGCCGCACGATTATCAAGATGAAGAAATACAGTGACGAGAACATCACCTATGATGAGCTCATCTACCGTGCGACCAACTGCACAGAGGCAGCCCGCTACATTCAGTGGATCCGATCCAATTACACGCCTGCCAATGAAGACATTGAGAAGTGCAAGAAGACCCAAGCGGTTGATTTTGCTTTGTACCTGAAGAAGATCAAGTGGCAGCGTCAGGAAACCTCGGAATTCACTCGATGCCTGAAGTGAAGCGTTGAGACAAGGAAGCATGAATGATGGCTGAAATGATTTTCTCAGCCTGAGGGCGTATGAAAGTCAGTGGGGTCATGCTCACTACGTGACATGTCAGGGTCATGCTCACTACGTGACATGTCACCACTTGCTTGTATGAAAGGCCTCGCAATCATTTGGGTTCACAAGGGCCCTTGAAGCCAATCACGGCTTGGCGAAACGGAGAAATAGAGTGGAGTGATTTGGTGTTGTGGTGAGGGATTAATAACCCCTATACAACTGACGGTATTCGCTGCCGTAACTTCAGTCATGAACCCATTGACAGGATTACCAGTTATGTTTGGATGCCCATGGTGGGACGGATGACCATAAACCATCCATGTTTTGACCATGGCACCATGATATTTTGATCACCATCATAGCAATATTGACAATAAGAAGACTTAACAATTCAACAATCGCATTTATTGCACACACAAGACACTACAGATGACAATAATTAATGATGATGAAATGATGATCATGATCTCGGAACATCCTGGTGGCTTTGATGAATGTGACTACCACCAGCTGGTTTTTTGCTGTGCTTGTGGATGTACATTACCAGCATCCGGAACAGATACATTACCACCATAAGTGGACTTAGAGTTGATCAAGATTGCGTTCATGCTGTGTGAATGTTTCGCTCAGTGTACGAAGTAGCTCTGATTTTGCAAGACCCGAAAAAGTGTAAGTCTACACCTGAACATTGAATGGGAATGCACGCGATCGTTCCAAACCAGGGCGAGAGCCGTGCTGCGTGCTACAGGCAAGTGAGTTCATTCTGAATGGGATGATTTGAATTGATTTGACAGTTATGGAGGAGTGCCAAACAGGAAGGTGGTCGAAGTCAACGCACACAGAAACCATGACTCCACCATGACCCCACCTCCCCTAGCTCGCCAGCGTCGCCAGTGGCCGTTGGGCGCTCCATCTGGCCGTGTGGTGGTAGGCACTGGCAGCACGTTTGGACCTCAGAGCTTAAACAGGAGCGACTGTTGCAGGAGATGGAAATGGATTTTTTCAATGGTCTTATTATGGAGTTTCATTTGATTTGATATTGTCATATATTGTCACTTGTCACTTGGTATACTTGGTACTGTAAAGGTTGTATTTGAACTTGTCAACTTTTCGGCCAATTCTGTTGAAATATTACAGAGGAGGAAGAGGTTTCACAGCATTGATGCTGCGAGCAGAAGTGGAAAGAACACTTAGCCAAGAAGGTCTTGGAAGAGTTGTAATAGATTCGGAATGGATACAAAGATACCCTAGGCCAAAAGTTTAAAGACATGTGCAGAATGGCGTAAGAAGGTTTAGGGAGCTTTGCCGACGGAGCATGTTTCAGGATGGGAAACACCCAGCAAAGCAATCTGCACAAACGCTTGCACGTTGAGGCTGAATGGAGTGAACGACTTCTCTGTGCCGGGCTGACATGGGAGGTGACGGGCATGATTTGTCCATTGCTTTGGTTAAGAGGAAACAGTTATCAATTGTTCTCAACAAATGCAGCTTGGACTTTGAGTCATTACAACATGCACCCCTTATGAAAAGCATCCCTGCAGGGTTGAAGCACTTGGGACCCCATGGGGCTGCTTTCAGGATCTTCAGGCAACAGTAAGTAAATATTGTAATTGTATTTGACAAAAATTGTTCGGCAAATTCTTTATTCTTTCGTAAGGCAGCACATCCCTGCAGGCCCCCCGAATGTACCAAGGATATCATTGACATCGCAATCGATGCGAATGGGGACCTCTTTGCAGGGAGGCCGAAAAGCAGGAGGTTGTCAAAATTTGGAGAATTGAGTGATATGGCTATGGATCAATACCTATAGATACATTTTTAGCGGGATGAACATCCATAAATCCCAGCTATTTTGATGTGAACTACAGGGGTACTATTGGTTTTGACACACTGCCATATGTTCCCCCATGCTATATTTATCATGTCCCCAAGATCAACATTTGAGGTTATGTGTTTGTTTGAAAACAATACATGAAATCATCGGGAAGGGTTGCGGGATGGACAGCGGCTCCAAAATTTGAGACAACCCCAAATTCCCCATTTGGCTGGTCCAAGTACATGTGGTTGAAAGTGGGTTGTACCCTACATGCGTTGCTTTATCATCATCGTTTCCATTTCCAACAACGTAAAATGTTGCTTTATTGCAGAAACGCCAACTTTATCATATCTTCATCCAACAAGTAACCCATCCTTGGAGAGAACCATGATTTTTGGGAGCCAAGGTCCTCGACGGACAGCACGGCCGCATCGTGAGGACGGCACTGGATGAAAAATCCGGTCCCATGAAATGTGTAAACGTAAACACATGGACATTTCAATGGGAACATTGTGGGAAAATATATGATGGAAAATCATGGGAAAAAAATTGTAAATATACGGAAAAATGGGAAATTCTCTACAAATGGAATGTCATAGTTGGGAAAATCATTGAGAATCAAACGGGGAATACCATGTTCAACACATTGAAGTCAATTTATGTTTTAGGAATCTCCATACTTAATCTCCTGATTTGATTGACCAGAACTTATCTCACAGGATTGACAACTGCCATGCTTATTGCTTGTGCGGGGCATACGGGAAACCATTTGATGAAATGTGATCGTTAACAATGTTAATGATTTGCTACTTTTTGGCAATCCGCCCAGATCTAGTCAACCAAGGTCAGAGTTTAGATCAGTTAGTATAATACAGTAATTGGCTAGCTACCACCCGAATATGATCTATTTTTCTTTTTCGGGGACGTTTGAAATTGCAGGGTGAAATGCCGAACTTCAGGTGCTGTGTTTTCGTTCAAATCCTTTTGAGGATCCGCGATGGTGTTGGAGAGGTTGTCGGCGATGGGTGTCTTTCATTGGATGTGGGCACCCGCGCTTTGTACATAGGCCTTGGGCTTAGGGATGTGATTGGTGTTTGGAACCCGATTTGTGAAACATGAGTTGGCGTAACTCACGGTAGAGACTGAGCTTCAATGACTAGCCTCGCCTCAAGTAGGCTTGTGCTAAGGAAACCCATAGATACTGCTGTGGTCTCTGGAGGCAGTGATGGCTCCATCTACTTCATTGATGAAGGTGGCTCCAGGGTGCAGAGGCACTGGATCATGCTGCCTTCTTTTCCGGAGCTTTGCTTTGGGAATGGGACAAATATCATTGAATACCTGTAGTACCCAATATTCGGGGGTATCCAACGAGCATTTTTGGTATTGAAAAATAGGGTACCTGGTTACCTGGGTTAGGGTTTTGACCTAGAACAGATTCATGCCAACAGCCCGGAGTGCACCTTACCACCTTGCTCGGTGGATTCTGCCGCGATGCAGGTACTACAAAGGTATTACCGCACCGGTGGCGGGTGGTGCCGACTCGGGTGATCAACCCCATCAGTTGGAGGCCCCCTTTGAGCAGGGCCCTTTGCAGCTGAGTTGCTGTGGGATCGTGACGTTTTGAGTATGAACTGATCGGCCTTAACCTAAGCTCTTTGGACTAGCTGGAGGGAAGTGTTTGACCAGGATGCGGAAGACATATTTGTCACCAAAGAAGGCAGGGTCTTCAGGAAAGTGATGCTTACACCTTTGCCAACTGTGGAGGTATCGGCAGCGAAACTAACTTGGAATGCAAACTGGAACCATGGTGATAAAGGTGATATAGGTGTCTCATGGTGTCTCATGGTGTCTCTGAACCCGAAGATTGCGACAAAGCTGCATTGGGTTGACACTAGCGGGTCTGACTCGCGCTGTCCAGGTGTGCTCTATGTGTCAGACAGTGGCAACAATCGCATCCAGAAGTGGGGCATCTTGGATTTGTCTTTCTGAAGATTTGCTACTCCCTCCAGAGGTGCTCAGACTATGTGTCGCTTTGTACTGCATCCAGTGCGCCGAGGTGGCTTCCAGGGGCGCACTCTGCTGTGACAGTGGCAGGGGGCAATGGCAAAGGCTCTCGTTTGGGGCCCAGATGTTGGTCCTTTTGTCCAGCCGTCAGCCCCAACAGGGACACAGCAACAGGATGTCGCACTGAGGCTTGGATCAGTTGCAGCATCCCGTGGGACTTCATGTGACTGAGGAGACTGATGCTGGTGAGGCTTTCTGTACATATATAATTATGATTGATTTTGTATATAATATACTGTACATGCGTATATATATATGATGTATGTATGTATATGGATTGAATCATATTGTTTATGTTTATGAGCTCACAATTCACATGTCAGATCGACCAAGAACAACATTTGGTGCATTTAGCATCAACCAGTTTTGAAATAGCCAATCTTGACCCAGACCCCGTTTTTCAAAGCTGCTGGAAGTACATATTCTCTTTTTTAGTGGGAAGGCAGATTTGCATCTGCAGGATTCTACCATCTACATCGCTGACTACCAGAATCACCGAGTCATGAAGTGGAAAGAAGGCTTATCTTCAGCTGCACCCTGTGGGTTTGGGCAACAGTCTAGATTCCAGATCACAACTACAGGATACCCTGATTCCCTTCTAAAGTAGATAGATGGCTATGACCGCTATACCAAAAAATAATTGACCCCAGCACTTGGATGGTTCAATCCTCAAACTGACGCAGTTTTTCATCGGAGCCATTTCAAGATTTTTCCAAATTTCTACCAAGACCGCCAAAGAGCATCTACAATTTCTCACAAATTTGGATGATTTTTCCTGGTTCTTCCACACATTTTAAGCTGTCGATATGAAGATCCTGAGATCTTGAGAGGCTGGCAATATGGCTTGGTGGTAGCGGGAGGACATGGTGTAGATGCCGGCCTCCACCAGGCGCGGACTTGAAAACAAGGATTCTCCTGTCACTTTTCTCGGTGATTTTGAGATGACTTCTGAGGTCACTTTTCTATCAGAAATCCAAAAGAGAACTTGAAAATTGTGGAAATCTTATGGCGAAGTCATGGAAAATCTTTGCATCTTGGTTTTCTGCAATTTTTCCCTATGACTAACGTAGTGAGGAAAGTCAACAGGGCCCTATGCGTCCCCAAGTTTGAAACAGAGCTTGTTTCCCCATGTGACGTGACACGTCAGTGACCATTCAAAATGGCTCTCAGCTGAATCAGTGGCAGTTATTCTCACTTCAGATCAAGGTTGTTGATCTCTTAAGGTCAAACCAATTTTACAATTCAAAGATGTGAAGTCGGACTGGACACACTCATATCCACTGACACAGGCATGAATCACTGAGGAAAGTTCAAAGTTGTTGAACACCAATGGAATGTCACCTCAGCTTAGTCTGTTCGGGAGAACAGTGCTGTGCCAAAGCAACAGCGTTTATTTTCACGCGGGTTGAGAACATGGTTGACACCCTGGTGACAGAGATGTCGTTGCCCCAGTGCTTTGGAATTGTGGAGATTGTGGTGATGTCCAAAGATGTTGCGGCCGATGAAGTGCCATACTGGTTGAATGGCCTTTGTTGAAGTGACCAGTGAAAACAAATATGCCATATTGGCTGGACAATGGAGGCCACTCTACTCTTGTACTCTGATGTGGACTCACTTGCTTTTAGCGCAAGCATATCTAATATGATCATATTTGACTTCAGCTGGTTTCATGCCGGCACTATTGTTTTCTGTGGTACCCTGATCATGGCATTCCGTCCAGTGTGACCTTCAATGCTTTGGCACTTGAGGTCAGAGGACGAGTCTGTAGGCGAGTCTTGGGGTTTGTACCTGTCTACTAGCCCACAGCAGCCAGAGGGTTTGACCGATAGACTCTTGCATTTTGTGAGTCTGACCATATTATTAATTTCTGCTTCCGCATGCTCGGGGGACCAATGCCACAACTTTGTTGCAACAGTAGGTCCTTTCACATGCGGGCCAAAACTATGTTTGTGACAGGCTCTGAGGAGATTGGAGTAGCGAACTCAGAGACGGCCGTTGCAGAGGTGGACGTCAGCTGTCTGCCTTAAACGCCCACAGCTCAGGTGGAAGTTCCGATGGATGTTGTCTTGGAGGCGCAGCCTGGCAGCTGGTGGAATCTCTTTAGTTGGATTTGGCTTGAAAACGGGGTACCAATTGACCCACAAGTTTGGTAATTCTTGTATTCAATTGTCCTATTCTTATGTCAATCTTTGAATCATTTTGAGCGTACCATTTTTTTTTTAGTGTTTAGTATTGACAGTGCTACTGGCAATGTCCCCATATTTTTTCTTGGCTGGTCAACATCCTATAATCTCTCGACGGCCGCTAGGTGGCCCCCGGCCCTTGCCAGAGACATACGGTTGCGCCCTGGGGCCTGTGGCGTTTCTTGGGGATGGAGTCACAGCTGCAGGGATGGGGCGTTGTTGAACCCCCAAGTTTGATGAGGCTAACAATCATCATTTGTAACAATCCATAACATATCTTTTCTGGTTACTCTAAGCTAGTTATGCTAAACTCATTATCTTTTGAGGAGGTATTTTGGTTGCGGCAGGACAATTTGGGGAAGATTTGATTCGATTGAAGAACCAAGTGAAGTGTCTTCAAGCGCTAAGGAACTGCTGCTATCAATGCTGAGCATTTCTCTGAGTTATCGCCCGTGGAAGGCAGGGGCGTTGGGGAAGGCAGGGGCGTTGGGCAACTGGATTAAACCAGGATTGCTGATCAACGTATCTCCTCACTTGAAAATGATCCAATACTTCCGGGACCAAAGGAATCGCCGGGACAAACATCCAGCTATACCAGCTGGTTTGGTGTGAAAACCAGGGAATTCCATGACTTTGAACCCATACTTGGTGGTGCAGCTGGAATTATTATATAATGAATAATGGATAGATAACCATGGTGATACCCCGCAAAAAATGGTAAAATGGGGGTTTCAGGGCGTGTATGTTGGTATGTTGCTTGTTATGATTTTGTGTTGGGGTTCAATGTTTCATCCTTGGTTTTGATGATTTTTCAGGTGGGGTTTTGGGGGTCATTTTGATGCTAAAGTGATGTGTCAATGTTTGGTTCAGATGAGGGTAGGATTTGTTTAGGCTGTTGGGGTTTGTGTTTTGGTTCAGATGAGGGAGATACTGTGGATAGTGTACTTGTGGTTGTCGTTTTTTATTGTCAAGGTATGTCTCGTCTTTTTTTGGGTATGATTTTATTGTGTTTCCTTATCATCAGTTTCAAGACAGAACATTCAACTTGATATCTTTCAAAAGGTTCCATGTCTTTCAACATCTTTCATTTTTTATTCTCTCATTCTCGTCTTTTTTGGGCGTTTTTTCTTGGTTGTGTTTTGATTTGAACGTCTTTCGCTTCGCCTCATTTTTTGCGGACTTCTTCATGGACTTTCTGGATTTCGTCGGGGGCGCCCAGATGAGATGTGCGCGCTGTTTCGTTTGCATGGAAGCATCACTTTTGAGGACATATTGCGTTTCTTGAGGCACTATGTACACTCTATGTACACAATGTGGCATTACACTACACCCAGAGATGTTGATTGCTTTCTCCCGCAGCAGACAGGCTCACAAATGCTCACAAGATAAGATGAGTTCTACTTGCGGCATGTGTTGCACTATGAACAAGTCAACGCATCAAGAAATCGTAAAGTGCTTGAGCTCCAGCACAGTCCCAGTTCTGGAGATTTCCGCCATGGGTATGATATGTCGCGTTGCCTCATTATGTTGTGGTTTTCGGCTTCTCATGTCAGGCCGACGAAACCACCGTTGCTTCTCAAACAACGCTCCAGAGAAGGAGCCGACCACGAAACAGCAGATTGGAAAGTGGTTGGTTGCTGGTGGCTCGTTGGCCATCGTGACCTTTGGATGGGATATGTGGCGGCATCGTCAAGAACAAGAACGGCATCGTCAAGAACAAGAGCGAGTGAAGAATATCATTGTGAATGCCTCTTTCAAAGCACGCGAGCCACGTGTCAAGATTGAACGGAAGATAATCAAGGCGTCCAAGCACCACCTTTTTTTTTGTTGTGTTTGCCTGTGTGTTTCTTGACAGAAGGGATTTGTTATTGAGATGGTGTTATTCCATGTCATATTGGCATTTTGAATTTGATGCACTATGCTCACTATGCACTGTAGCAGGACGAACTGCACCAGTTGTTGGACTTGGACGACCCCCGCCCAATCCTCATCTGGGGGAATCATGAAGTGGGCAAGAGCACCATCCTTTGGAAAGTCTTGCAGGAGAAGCAGTGGAACAATGGAGTGCTCCACATCAAGCTCATGCAGAACAACGACTTGGCCAAGGACGCATTGAGGAGCAGGTTGGCAGTGCTCCATGAAGAGGAGATGATGCGTGGCTTGAGAGATGCCAAACAAGAAATGGGACGGCAACCCATCATCATCTTTGAAGTTATTCGTGGTGTCTTTAATCCAGATGTGATGAGCAGCGTCTCCGCCTTTGCAAAGTCATGGGGCTTTGATGACACGGTCGCCAAAGTGGTGGTGATGGTCAGTTCTGCAGTGTCAGCCATTGCTTTTGACGCAGACGGTCGTGAGCGCCGATTCTTCGTTCCACCACTGATGAGTGAAGAACTCTCGCAGAAGGAGGCCAGAATGAAGAGCTTCAGTTCATGTGGTAATTGTTCAGTCGCCTTCAGTTTTGTTGGTGCTACTTCTGGCATGGGTTGGGATGTTTGCAGATGGACGTCTCCTTGTCAGGTTGAGGAATTCCTACATCATCATGGCGGTGAAGAGGCCTCCAAGCACAAGAGCGATATGATTCAACTCACAGGTGGCAACATCGGTGTAATGGAGGACAAGGGTCATGAAACCATGGGACAACAACCCGAAACATCAACGAACGTTGAAACCTTGAAACTTGCCCACATCTCCTGCAGGACGTGGCGCAAAAGGCCAAAGAGACATCATGGGAAGAAGCAAAGTCCAGACGGCTTGTGGTGCAAGAATATCAGGTCGAGAAGTTCTTGGGCATTGACAACCAAGGTGGCTTTGGCCCCAAAGAGGCGAGGATGGCACGCACCTTGGCCAAGGCCGTGGCGCATAGCTCCTTCGAGCAGTGTGTCGATGCCAAGCGGTTCATGAAGCACTTCACGCCTGCGGACGTGGCGAGAGCGGTGCGGAACCGAAGCGCTCATTGCATCTATGTGGATGCGCGGGCAGAGGAGCGACGCTACTGCGCAGTTTCTCGCACAGTGCATGACCTTTTGAAGAAGGTCTGAAGGCGGAAGTGGCAGTGGCGTGTGAATGAGAGTGCTTGGTTCCTTGTAGGACTTTTGGATTGCATGGATGGTGCAATCCGCATTGTGTCCAACCAGACTGGCAAAACACAGAAAGGTGATGATTTTTATTGGGGTTGCACCTACCCTTCAATCGGGGATGCACTCTATCTGCACTGCACAATTGACCGGTGGGACAGACCGCACAGTGTTCCAAGACTGGATGAGCAAAAGTGAAATGAAATGGCAGAGATTGAAGGTTGGTTTGTTTCGCAGTTGTTGGATTGGCACTCTCAAATGTAGCATTCTTCAGGCCCAGAAGTTTGGTGATGATATCAACCACTTTTCACTGCTTTACAGCATCCAATTGCATCCAATTGCCCTTTTCCACTTGCCGAATGCGTCCCACGCCAAGGTTGTGAAGACATCAGGGACACCATCTATTAGCAGGTCAATCCCAGCATTTGTCATAATGCAAGATTTTGGAAACGGGTTCTATCAAAGCCTTGAAGCAATGAACTATTGAAACAGCCTTCAAAACCTGATTGTTTCGAGGAAAATCCAACCAAATATTTGCTGGCATGACATTTCCAAGCAGTCTCCAGCACTTGACGTTGGGAGCATCCAACGGGTTGGCCTCATTTGCGAACACAGAACACCCCAAAGATACTTAAAGACAAGTCGCCTTATGTAATTAAGATTTGATATGCCCTGCTATTTAGTAGTTGACGGAAAGAAGCAAGAAATGGATGAGGACATCTTTGACCAAATGGTTGAAGCACTCAATCCAGAAACAGTCCAAGAACCCCCAATCCAAGCATCCACCAGATGGAAACCCGATGGAACTTATGACAGAAAACCATTAGACCCCGAATACTTTTCCAAATACTACCAAAAGAAATTATCAACACCCTTCAAGTGTGCCGACTGCGGACGCACCATTTCGTCCAAATCCAATGTATCAAAACATCGTCAAACCAACATTTGTATTAACAGCAGATGTCATTGATGAACTGTTGAACTCAAACCTTCTCAATAACAAATGATGTTGTTGAGAACGTTTTATTCGCTACTTATTCCTGTTTGTTTGACACAATTTTTCGACCCTTGATGTATCGGAACATAATATTGAGACATTACACGCTTACAAAAAGGACACTCAATCTTTTCAAGGTGTTTCGCTAATATTTTGTCTCTATGTTTGTAGTAGTATTCCCGCGACGCCTCTTTTCTCTCTTCTTCCGTCCTATGCGGAACGACCTTATTGACACAATCAGTGTTTTTGATGTAGTGTCCTTCTCGTCTCAATAGTTCTTCCTTACAATTACACGGGTAGTTCTCAATCAATTCAATCTTACAATTTTCAATACCGAACTCATCAAAGATATCAAACACTGAAATCTTGCTGTTTGTCTTTCCTGTCTTATAGTTGTTGTATTTTGCTCTATGCCTCTCAATTCTTTTACTCAAACTTTCGCAAGTGCTCTCTACATAGGCTTTGTTGTATCCAATGTCAGTTATTTTGTAAATCTTTCCGTTTTCATACCTGTTCATACCTATATTTACTATAAGTTGCCATTTCTTTAAACCAGTTTTTCAAAACCAACCGTGAGGTTCTCGCGTTGGACTTCAACCCAGAACCAAATTACCTGAAAACTGAACGAGACCCGAAAACTACTTAAAGAAATGGCACCTTATATATTAAGGAGAGAATGGGAGAGGGTGTAAGGTTAAAAAGTGAAATTTTATCTCAAAACTTAACCCAACAACAATCCAATCCACCGCAACATCCTCAACAAAGAATGGAAACTGAAAAACTACTTAAAGAAACACCATCTAATAATAATATAGAATATAATATAATGGAACGCTCAGACCAGATTGTTTTAGATTACATTTTATCAAGTGAGACAGGCGAGATATTGAAACAGAATGGACGGGAACTTAAGAAACTGAAGATAGGTGATAAGACCTACAACTTTGAAAGAAACAAACCCATCACGAACAGATTGAAAACCAAGTTCAACAAGATAAGGCAGACTATGGACTACAAAAGATACGAATTGAAAGAGAAGAGAGACATTAGATGGATAAACTTAGACAAGAACAAAGCACTCACAGGCATCCAAATGAGATACAAAGCAACCACCACCAACGAACAATCTGCTTTCAAGGGTTATGTCAATTCATTTGCCATCACAAATGTCAGAGTTAGAGGCATCAAGGCGCTACAGTATCTCAAATACCAAGATTTAAGGTTGAAAGAGTATTTGATGAAACACAAGGGTATGAAAGTTATTTTACAGGTTTCCGCCACTATGAAGAGCAAGAAAACTAACGAAGAGATAAGGGAGAGCATCAGGAGTAGAAGATATAACATCACCAATGAAGATGAACCCCCCCAAAAGTTAAATCAAATGG